GGATAGAGCTGTGGGTGGAGCATTGCAAGCGAACTAATGGTCTCCCTGTAGGCGCAGGCGTCCTGTGGCTGGCCACAGTGACAGACCAATCGGAAACCGGATGCCGCCAACCATATAGAGGTATTTCGCTCACTTTATTCCTATGAGTTCTGGCGACGAGATCCACCAAAAACCTGCTTGCTTGCTATTGTTTCTGAGTTACTGCGTAATTGTAAATCTGGGTATATATAATCATCTTGTTCAACAGGAATGCTACATTAGCAGTGATTTAGGTGCCCCATTCATGTGAAAGTGTGCGTTTTCCACGCGATCATTTTATAGTGAACACAGATATGTGCAGAGAAACGGAATCATAGGGCACGCCTTTATTGTACGTAAGCAGCAGCGTCCGGTTATATAATGACATTGGTGAACCGCGCTGGCTAGGGAACTAGAATTGCAAGTCGTCGAGGGTGTACAAGGGTTCCGGGCATGTTTTTCGGTTCAATCAAGCGACCTGAACTTACAACCAACGTTTCCCATGGGTCGCCTATTTGTACAATGAAACAAGCAAGTTGGGTTACAATTTGTCACATCTTACTCGAGCAAACCGGGGAAATCTGTTGATTGCTACAGGTTTTCGGTTCTCCTAAATGGCGATTTTATTATATGGGTATTCTTCCATGTCAAACGCCATTGGTCAGAAACTGGGCACCATAGGTTATTTCATACCGGCCAGTGTCTCGTTCAGCGGAACGCGATCACCGAAATCATCAAAACAGGGTAAGGCCAGCCACGAACTCGGTCTGTTCACACTAAATGCGTTCATCAACGTCATCATTATACACGTTAGCTAGAGGTGTAAAGGACCTCAGCTACCCTGCCACAATACATAAAAGAAAAAAGAAAACAAATGCAACAGTTGCTGAGCTATCAGCAACGGATGGGCATTGTTGCGGACAGCTACCAGCCGCCTAATAGGCAACAAATAATCCTTATGTACAATTATATTATGCTGAGAAATGAGATCATGGTTGGAGGGGGGAGACTAAAAGGGATGGGGAGGAACATAGAAACTCACAGCAGGAACGCCACTTGGCCGGCTACTAGTCATGTCAGCAAGTGTATCTAGCCAAACATATTCATCATCTTTTGGACCGAAACCAGGAAGCCGTGAAGCTCCAACCGACGCCGACTTCGAAGTGAGGGACTTCACCCCTCTTGAACTAGTCATCTCTAGGCCACCTCTCCTCTTCTTCCATTCACACCCCCGGCGCGCAAACAACTCACGTCGCGGGAGCCGATGGGCTGGCATGCGTAACACGTGGCCGAGCCATCGGAGCCTGGTGCGTGAAATGACGGTGCTGAGCGGTTCAGTTCCTTTTCCTATACCTTAAACAAGGCGACGAACAGGCTCGTTGATCATGCGGTGTTCCCGCCAGATGTGATCCAAACTGCGAAGGCACTAGTGGTCGAACGTAACTAGTCTCTTCACGTCCTCTGCTCTAAGGGGCCAGGTTTCACAACCGTACAATAGGGTCGACCGTACTGCTGCATTGTACACTGTACCCTCCAGGGCGAGAGTGATGTTGTGCCGGTGCCATAAGTGGCGAAGGTTTGCAAAAGCGCCTCGCGCTTTTATTATCCGGTTCGTGATCCGATCTTCAATCCCATCGGCGATGATACAACTTCCCAGGTAGTTGAATTTCTGAACGACTTCTAGCTGCTCCCCACCAAGTGGGCGCAGGAGGCGGTCCAATCGAAGCTTGGAGGAACGCTTTGCACTTTGATGGTGCAAAGCAAATCCCGAAGCAGCTGACAGCCAGTGGCAATGTGTCCAGTGCTGTTTGGCACGTTCGTGAGCTGTCACAGATTAGGAATATCATCTGCATACTCCAAGTCGAGAAGTCGGTCTCCTGGGAGTAGCTCCACACGTTCTAAGTCCTGCCCTGTGAATGCAATCTCCATGACTTCGTACATAGCGAAGTTGACGAAAGAAAGGTGGCAGCGAGCATTCTTGTCTCATATCGTTGGATACTGAAGGGCGGCGTCAGCTTGTCGTAAGCTATCACTCTGTCCGTGCTATGCACGTATCTTACGCGGATAATATTTACATATTTTCTCGGGCGCACGTCTCCTGAGTAGACAGTCCCAAATGGCACAGCGATCAACCGAATCGAAGCCAACTTTGAAATCGAGGAATACGACTACGGTGGGTCACCAATATGCGTGACAGTGCTCCAACAACTGACGCAAGATGAAAATATGGTTGATGCAGCCACGACCCCCCGACGAAACCCGGCTTGCTCTTCACGAATCTGACTTTCACGAGTGCTAGTCAATCTTTAGAAGATGACAGAGGAAGGCAATTTGGAGGCGATGGGTATCAGACTGATTCCTCTATGCTCGCAGCATTCCGCATCCCTTGAAAATTTGGGCTATAACTGAGCGACTCCAGTCAATTGGGACGGATTCCTGCTCCCACAGTTTCACTAGTAATTCGTATAAATCATCCACAAGAGCAGTGCCCGTGATTTTGAAGAAGGTGGGATGTAGATCATTTGGTCCCGAGGTGTTGTTCAACTGCAACAGTCCGGTCGCATGTTCGACTTCTGAGCAGGGCCATCAATGGCCGGTGAGGAATCTAACGATTCCGGCTGATTAAATTGCCTTTCAAATTGCTCAGTCCAATGCTCCATGCGTCTTGATAAGTTGTGGATAGGCTTTCCCCTCTAGTCACATATAGTTCCACTATCACCAGGTCTCCTGCTGCCCATTTTCCGTATCAGACGGAATAACTTACGAGGGTTACCAAGGGCAGCGGTCACTTTCATCTCTGACGCACGAAGAGACCACCAGGATTCGCAGTCTCTCTTTAGGCTTGCACGGAGTTTTGTCCGCAGCTCTTTGCGATTTTCATTGTGTTCACTTCCAGCCGGCGAGTATCGATAAGTTCCAGAGACCGCGTTCGCGGGATGGAAGTATAGAATTGAGTGGACCCTAACTTGGGAGCGCAGGTCAGCCAAGCAGCTAAATGTGTGAGCGAAGGTTTGCTATGTAGAAGTAACAATACAGGCGATTAGGGTTCAGGACATGCCGATACAGAATGGTGATGGCAGACTATAATCTAGGAAGGAATTAGAAGGGAGGTTCGAAACAAATTAGAAGCCACAGACACCTGATCATGCTTGCTCAGGAACCACAAAATTCCAAGGAAGCGAATGAACTTGGGGCACGACTTACCATGTGCATTACCCGAAACAGCACCTATGTACCATAGATTGAGCGAACAAAGCAATATCAACCGTCTCAATAAGTAACATCAACTCTTGATTTAATACAAGGTCGCTCAAAATCCGGTGTTCGCTTTAGTTGAATGACAAAAAGTCAATAAACTTATTATTCATCATCCGTAAATAAAATCAAAACTGCAGTAGTTGTAAACTTCTTATACTGGAAATATTTTGGGTTTCTTGTTGTGGGGAACCCTCTTTGTGGGTAACAACCTCAAAAAGCGTGAGAATCACTGCTTCACATTTATGGGAGACGGCGACCACCCATTGGCAGAGCAATACGGCAAGTCGATTAGCTTGAGCCAGTTACTCTCCTTAAACCTCTCCGGCTAGATGTGGCATGTCATAAAAATAAGTACACTAAATCTACGTCCCTTACTTCCCTTTCTAAAATAGCTCAGGTGGATGATAAACCTGACGTGCTTAACTTTTGCTTATTAGTTTTAAATGTGATAGTCCTTCAAGGCAAAAGTATGTCCTTTGGGGATGCGAAAGACCTAAGATTTGTTGGCATGTGACCGGCTCAATTTATGGTCCAGTTTAATATGGTCAATTGTTGATTGCGGTGCAAGAAGCATTCAATGACACCGACTCGGAAATTCCTTTGCTAATTGGGCTTCTCACAGAATCCACATTTAATTACTCGTGCAAGATAACTTTGTTTGCACAATGTAAGTCCAAAAAGAGCGAAACTGAACAACGCATTGGTTGCTTGCAATGAGTTGGTCTCTAGTAGATTCGTCAGGAATGCAAGCTCATATATCCTGGGTAGACTCAGCGATGGCAGCGAACATGTGCAAGACCGTTATCCCATTTCCTGTACCATGCTGCTAGAGTGCTATGCTTCGATGGCTGGGTACTATGAACGTGTTCTTCTTACACAGGTACATCAGAACATGTATCATCTCGTTCTTACAGGCTACTAGTCGTTGAAGCCTAACTAAACCGCAGACTGAGAGGCTACCATTTAGAGCTGTCGGAGCCATATAGCAGCCGGAACTTGGTCCGCAGTGTGTCACGCACGAAATGCACTTCCAGTAGCATTTGCTTCTGTCTGAACTATAGAGAAATGCAAGAAGCCATTCTAGGGTTTATTCATGTCTTCTTAGAAAGTATCGTAGAGTATCCAATTAAGAACGACTCCACCAAATGTCATCATAACAACTCTTATCCAGAGTAATTAGGCAGACCAAGGGTAGGACCTCGTGAAAAGAGTAGAAGTCTACCAACAGTATAGGTGCACGACAAGCAACATTGGTCGTGTTCGCGCCATCGTTTCTGATAAACTGGGCCCAAATAATCGACAGACATTAAATGTATACATTCCAACGCCCGCTTTTAACCATGATTTCAACCTCACACAAGCGAAGTAGACAAACTGTGAACCAAGGTTGAAAATGATTTCGTGGTACTGACCGCACTTCTGCAGAATGCAACAGCTAAACACATAAGAATTAACCTACTGTGTCAATGATAGCAACTGTATGAATGATTCTTCTCATGAGGCTAATTTGAATGTTAACCAACAACCTGATTCATGTGGTGCTTTGTCTGCGCTGCAAGTGCGAGGCGTTTGTGTTCCACCGCGGATGGGGGTGGACGGTTGCCATGCCCTTTGCTATCGGACGAACTGGCTAGACGAACCATTGGAGAAGCCCAATAAGGTGAACGCCTTTGAGTCAGCAGAATGGTCGTCCCTGACTCGGATTTGCAACTAAAATGTAACGATCAGCGATGATGTACTGTAATTCATCAGGATAATGGATGCAGAAAACAAAAACTGTCAAAACAACATGACCGCAGTGGTGGAAAGCAGAATTGCAAACGACATTAAATGTTGATCGGAAGTAAATGTGCTTCCAACCAAAGTCCTCTGCTAGTTTCCTTCCGTCAGCTCCGGTCATGTGCGTAATTCAACACAGAGGTCATAATGTCACCGTATATGGGTATGTGTTAGTCGACTAGTAATTCGAACTGCGCTGGTTCACCGGGATTGCGTATGTTCAGTAGTTGACAACGAACCATCAGAAGTACATGTCGTTTGGGGCTTTCAAATTGCACAGCGACTAACGGAGATCGATAGGCAACTTGAACCAAGTACGGATAGTAGAGGTTGCTGAAATATCCACTGAAAAAGAGAGTGCGAAAGTTATCGTATAGGCAAACGCACAAAGGATGTGTAGGGTTTAACATATTGAGCATTTGGTTGTGGACTGTAAGATTAATTTGTGGGGTGTTCAGAACGTGGATTCATTAAATTTGGATCTGACTGAACTGTCCTCATGCTAAACATGACTTCTAACTCTCTCCAAATGGAGTGCAGCATGTTTGAACAAGAAACGAAACAAACAACCTTATGGCTTTTTAAATCAAGGCCTTCCTCATTACGCAAGGACTTAGGGAGTGTGAGCAACAACGATGGGATCAGAGATTCCCCAAATTCACCACGGCTTTTGTACAGGGAAGATTCTTGAATCCTGATCACTAAATTAGGTTAAACAGATAAGAATATGGGAGTTGTGGATCGTAAATTGCAATGATTCTACCTGTCTTCCACTGTGAACTTTGACAATCGAATAAGGAGACTCACAAAATATTCATAATGCATTTACTGAACTCGCGTTCCCGGGCAAATCCCGATGCATCACTCGCCGTCCCAATAGGCAGGCAACTGCCACACGTTCTTAGGCTGCTTGAGCTCAATTTTGTCAACGCTCGAGAGCGGAGTTCGCCGGGCGTACACAAGTAGTGCGAGGCTCACGTACTGGCCCCAAAGCAATCACATTTGTTTATGTTTTTGTGATAAAACTTCTATGCTTGTAAGTGAGAGGAATGTATGAACTGATTAAATCTTTTACCAGTCCAAATGTACTGAGAGATTACTGCAGTTACAAAGGGACATGGCTGATTCTAGTTGAAACATTCCAGATCCATTGGAAGTACACAGGTTTGACAGTTAAGTAAAGCCGTATTTCTGCATGGCCATAAATACGCGGTAAACCAAGCATTACATAGGCCAGATGTTGAAACTGACAGCTTACAAGGAGAACACAAAGCGAAGATCAATGACATGACGAAGCATGGCGGTCTCTTGAATTCGAAATTAGATTATTTATAACTGGTCAAAAAGGGGTTGCTTGGAAAGTCCCGTAGGATGACCATAGTGAGGATTATAAAGACATGTTAAAATATACGATGGAAAAGGGAGAAATTAGGGTTTTAATTTACTCATCAAGCTATTCACGTGCACACTGATGCAGATTTCCCCAAGGCTACGTGAAGCAGAGTATTTCACGTAATGAAAGTGAGATAGGCTATCGTCAAGGCGTTTTTGCAAACATTGGTGTTATAGCAAAAATGAAGTCCTTTGGGACATCTGCAAGAAAAAGAAATTTTATCGCCAATTAAGTTGGCTGTAGTGTGTTGCAATTTTGAGCTGGTGGCCTCTCAGGTTATTATTTTGGCTGAGTGGCAACAGGTTACGATAGGCGTGATCTGGGTTTGTCAGTATTAGATAAACCTCAATGAGATATCCTCTTTAAAGCAGAGAATTACTGTTTTACAATATCAATACTGCCTTGGTAGGAAGGTAAACAATTCGCTAACGATTTCGGTCGCCCTAGGTTGCTGTACTTCAAGCACATGAATATCCTGTTTCGGCTAGGGATGCCAGACTTGAATCTATTACGTCACTTGGGGTCCTGTGTAGTCCTTCAGCATTTACGGAAAGACATAAGGTTTGAAATTCCTGCATGCCCTCTTTGGGAGGCCAAGGGGTTGACTGGTTATTCTCAATGCGTTTTAAGTTTGTTTCAAGCCGTTAAACACACACTGCACCGTTACCCTGATACAGCATTCTCGTATAGCACGTTACAATTGCTGTTCCCTAAGTCAAGGTTCATAGGTTCGCTGGTAAAATATGACAACAGCGTTGCATTCTACCACGCTGGACTGTGGCTGGTTCTCTGATGAACATGTATAGGCACTGTCGAAATTCCTTTGTAGTTCCGTGTGCTCGTCCACTGTCTGGATGTCATGCCAGATTTTGTTATCGACTGCAAACAGCAAGAAGCATGACTGCAGTGTCCCAGCAAGATCGTTAATGAAGACTGGGAATAAACATGGTCCCAGGACCCATTCTTATGGTACACCACACGGGTCTTCAATTGGGTCGGAAATGGCGCTGCTGACTCTGACATTTGTGTGTCATTGAATAAAGAATTGGCTCCTTTAACCCAGAACCGGAACACAGATTTAACAGTCTCAAAGTCTGTGAAGGATAATACGGTAGTCCAAGTGGTCGACCGCCTTCGAGAATGTCAGGTGTACAACGTCCCTCCTATTCTGACACTGCCATATTCCGTCCAGTTTGCTCTGGATAGGCGTAATATCCTGGTGCAGGATTGTTAACGTCTCTGCTATGCTACCTTCCATTCATTTTGGATAGTACCGGGAGGAGAATTATTGAATGGTACTTTGAGGGTTCCGCACGATTGGCACTTGTAAAATGGAATGAGTAATCCATGTTTTCACATCGTGTCTCTAAAAGAACCGAGCTAATGGTTCGGCGATGTTCATGGTGACCGTCTTTAATGTTGTCTATCTTAGGTTGTCCACGCCAGAAGAGATATGCACGGGCATCATCCTATCTGCTGCAGTGCAGCATAAGTGACTTAATCCTGGGGATGTATAAACAGTATTAAAGGCCGATGACGTAAAGATTCACACTGGAAACTGTTATTGAATCGTTACCAAGCGCGTTGGCCGCTCCTTGTGTCGTTAGGACCGAACCATCTGCTACACGTAGCACTGAGATGCCGCGCTGTACAATGAGAAGCTTTTAAATGTGACTGTACAGCATGTTAGGATTAGTACTTAATCTCACCGCTAAATCTTGCTGGTGTTTGAATGCGTCCTCACAGCCTAATCTGACGCAGTGGTTTTATTGAGTTAGTTAGGCGCTGCAGGCACACAAGCTTGGGCAGGCTTCAAAAGCACACCCGATACGATCTTTCAAGGCTTTTCACTTTCAACTCCAGCTTCTCAGAAATGGCTTCGCTTGCTTCAAGCGAAACAGCTTGGTTCCCAACGCATTTACTACCAGCCAAGTGAACTTGGTGACAAATTTCTTCCAGGCGACATCGGAAAGCTGCTAGCCCAGGAAAGACCAGTTGGTTGCTTGAGCTATATATCAGACAGGATATCGTATTAAGGAAGACATGGGATTCCTCGTTGTTTTCACTGGTGTATTCCGCAAAGCAGATGTAACAGAAGATCAGGATTGCATGGCTGCTACGGCCTAGCAGTGAACTTATGGTTATTTCAAAGTTAAAGAGTCGGTCTTTAGCGCTTTCCGAAGAGCGGGGAGAACTGCCATAGAAGTGTAGCTGTAAATTATTTATCCCTGTTTGTGGGCTTGTCTTGAATTGTTCACTGTGTGAAGTAGGGACATTAACTGCGTGCAGATCGAAGTCCTTGACCAGAAAATGGCTATATGACCACGCCAGGACTCCCTTCGTAGCAGAAGCTAGGATGCGACCTATTTCCGGGATGGATCTTGGAGGGCGGTAAACTATTGTCAGTATAAACACATCGTCCAATCTAAGGTGTGGGCACAACAAAGGTAATCGAAAACATTATCGACAGGTAAGTCAGCTGGGTAATACAAGGATATTCCGCCTCCTCTGCTTGCTCAGTCGTTTAGTATGAAGAACCATCTCAGCGTTGGTGTTCTCAGTTTTCAGCCATGTTTTGATTACCATGACGACGTCGCAGGGTGTTAGGACCTTACGAGTACAACGCTCAGCTAACTTGCTTGGATGTCCCTATGAGTTGGTATACAAGCAGGTGACGGTCTAAGCGCTTACAAGCGTGTTAGTGGATTCGAATCTCAGGTGAGGGTCTATAGTGACACTCCTGGGGCGGGCTGCCAGTCGTTTTTCCTTGAACTACCGACGCAGGCTCTGGAGACATTTTGGGCTAGTGTGCGGAGTGGTCAGTGTTAGCAAGTGGTTCATTACATAAGCCTCATTCAGCTGACCTGTTGTTTCGACAGTATCCCAGTTCTGAGCTGCATACTGATGGGGTCAAACATGTGACCTACTGTTTCGGTGTTGTCTCGTCTATTTGTGGCCGGATGTCCATCACCTTATAAGTAATTCGGATGGCAGCCCTCTGCGCATTTGGGCCATAGTTTGATAGCCTTCTCTGCCGCGTGCTTGGATTACAATGTTGCCTTCATCAATCCAGGAACACACTTTTGTTAGTTGGGTAATAATGGTAACCTTGCGGTCAAAATTTTGACTAGATTTTCGAGAGGGAGCGCTTCACGGATAAAGTGCTATTCCTCCAGTATTTTGCTTGAGCTCCTAGACGGCTTGAAAATCTAAAACAAGTAAAACCGTGAGCAAGGATCGATTTTACCCTTTTCTTACGGTAGTCATCCGTATTTTTGCTTTTCAGCCATTTGATCCAAGGAACATCTGGAAGAATGTGAACGGTGCATTAGAAAGTTCGGAGACGGGTGGCTGACAAGTGAACGGACTCTGCTTCATCTCTTGACTGAAGTATTACTTGGAGTTACCGAGGTTCACTGTGGTGTATTGAGCTTAGGTGATGGACGAGGCGCATCATACTGGACACTTTAGCTCGGACCCTGTTTAACTGGCACCTGTGGTCGCACTATTATCCGTCGTCTAGCAGTGTGTCTTTGATGAAGCCAAGCACATCGGGAGTATCACACGCAGAGCACCATGATGTCGTTCTGTAGCCTCTTCTTTGGGGAAGGGTGTGACTGTTTTTTCTGGTCGGGCAGCAAATCACATCCTATTTCCCTCAGTAATATTAACAAAACTAACTGTGCTAGATCGATAGCGGTATATGTTACAATGGACAGTTCCTCTGTACTGTTGGTGGCAACAACAAAAGCCTATGCTGTGGGTCTTTTAGCAGTATTAGATGTACCGTGCGGCTCCCATAAAGCAAGTGCTACGAACAAAACATCAGGAGCAACCCCTCTTGTCAGGAGAAGAGTCAGCGGCTTCAGGATTCCTAACTCTGGAGCCATGGCCTTATGTCCGCTTTTATTGCTCTTCTCGAAATAAGAGTTTGGTGTTGGAGATCGAATTC